GAAAAAAATTCAATAACATCAAAATTGGATGAATTTATAATCACCATAAATTAAGTATGAAGCAAAACACTACATATAAGTTTTATTTTAATCATAAAAGCACCTCATCAATCATCAATCTCCCGCAATTTCTGTTAAATGATTGAAATTGGCTAAAAGTATAAAAAGGAAATTACAGAAAATTAAGAAATCCTCACCCTCGTCACTTGGCAACCAGAGAGAACCGGAACTAATAGAAGAGCTCTATCCCATTCCTTTCTCTTGCTCTTCAGCTCTCCACGATGCTTTAGATAATTAGAGCGCTCATATCATTGGTCGTTAAATTTAATAATTTATGTTTAGGGGTTAATATGATACTAATAATTAATAATTTACTAGCAATTTTTTTTTTTAAAATGTTCGGTTGCTTCTATTGGAATTATCGATGCCTGCTGGCTGCCGGGGAAATCGAAGTCAAAAGATCCCGGGCAAGTGGCGGGAAGAGCGAGGAGCTTGCCAGGAAGAGCGAGGAGCTTGCCACGTGGGCTCCAGCTGGATGCCTCGGAATTGTGGAAAGAGCTTCGGTTTCTGCTATTTCCCGCCAAAATAATGCGAAGGCAAAGAGATATTCAAATGAATTTAAAAAAAATGGAAAATAGTTTTAACGGTATCGATGTGCTTAAAATACAAATTTGGCGTACATCAGCCGTCGTTTTTGTCTAGGGAGCATAGTGGCGGAGACCTAAACAAAAACAATACTGTATTTATTAAATTGACAGGAACTAATTTTTTCACCCTTATATTTGAATATAGTTATATTATAGGGGCAAAAGTGAACTTTATTTGGACTAAACTAAAGCAGGTCAAGAAAGCTGGACTGTGTGGTTTAATATCTGATCTATTTATAAGCAAAAAAGTAATAACCGCCTTTAAAGTCAAGGGTAGACTTCAGTTTTTTTTTTTTTTTTTGATATACACTGACTCTTTTGTCATATGAATGATTTCGATCCATCACAGTAAACTAATAATTTACGAGTTACCCATCAAACCATCAGACTCGATGCCCTTTATGACAAAGTGAATGGACCCTAAATAATTATTAATTATAACTGTTTTTTTTTTTTTTTTTTTTGATATACACTGACTCTTTTGTCATATGAATGATTTCGATCCATCACAGTAAACTAATAATTTACGAGTTACCCATCAAACCATCAGACTCGATGCCCTTTATGACAAAGTGAATGGACCCTAAATAATTATTAATTATAACTGTTGCTCTTAATCTTCCTGCTTCCTTGATAGAGAAATATAGGCTAAATTGCATTTAAATGCCCTATATTTTCATCAACATTGCATTTAAGTGATCCCTATTTTAAAAACAGAGCAAATAAATACCCCAAAGTATTTACATGTTATAGGTCACTACCCTAAAGTAAAAAAAAAGTCCTAAATGGTGTTAACATTTCTCTACGTATCCAAGAATATCATTTAATGCACGATACTAAAGTGCAACTTTTAGAAACTTCAGGGTGTTAAAAGGGAGATTATTTACTGTAGAGAATTCAAACCAAAGAAATAGCAATCACCCATAAAAGCTTTGCTTGCAGATGCTGCAATTGTCGTCGAATCAGCCTACTGCAAGCTGTAGCCATCAATACTGACTTTGATGCATACAGACACAGTGCAAGAAATGAAACAAAAAGGAGAGGGGGGGTAAAACTTGAAAAGAAAATGATGGTGAGCTTCGCAGGTTCAGCAACAGCCCCCTTTACAGCTCGCTGCCTTTGTCTTTCACAGGATACAGGGCGGGAAAAAGGTGATCTTTTTCCCTTTCAATGCGGTTTGCTGGATAAAAGCGGAGAAATTCTTGCAGACGCTCGAAGAACTGCGAGGAGAGGAGCCCATTAGCATTAAAAAAAAAGGAGACAGGATTGGTAGAGGAAACCTTAAAATAGAAAAATTATACATAAATTATATTTTATTTTTAATTTATAAGTAAATCACTTTTAATGTTGATTTTTATTGCAATCAACCAACCACCCTCCAGCCAAATTCTTCGCTTAAAACCTAAAATCACCCTTAAAAAAACTCACTCGCATTTAACGTACATGACTTGTCCTTTTAGTATTTAGATAGATCTTTTTAGAATACAACTGACATAACATACCTTGAATTCGAGATTAAGAACGGCCCCCCCCCGCGCCCGCCCCTTAGTAAAATCTAAATAGTATGAATGTGATTGATTGCAACAAACACCAACTTTAAAGATTGTTTATGTATAAACTAAAAATAAAAAGTGATTTACGTATAATTACTATGTGGTTAAGGTGGTTTCTAGTGGACAAAACCCCAAAATTTTTTATGGTGGTATCTAGCCTTTTAGTATCTAGGCTATTTATATACATACAGCGTACATTTCAATCCTTAGATAAAGTTCAGTCTGTGAAGCTTTAACATAACTACAAATATAACAAGCAAGACATATGACGACCAATACACATCACATGGCAAAAAAATAAAAATAAATAAACATACTATTCAAACGCCAAGCACTTGGATGGTCTATTCAAAAGAAAGTTCAAACGACTCAAACTTCCAACACTTTTGAAATGTTGAACATAGAAAGCTGAGATTTCTAGGGGCATGAAAGGGGAAAATGCTACTCGTTGGTCAAGACCCCCTTCTCCTCTTTTTAGATTCAGAAAGGTTGATTACATGCCTACGGCTCTTTCTTTATCTACCCCGAACAGTCTCCCCTATGACTCCGCCTCTCTTTTTGGTCTTAAGGTCTAAGGGGCTGTTTGGTTCATTTCCAAAAAATTATGGAAATGGATTCCCACATAAGAAACCTATTCTGTAAAAATTTTAGGATATCAAAGGAATCCAAAACTTTTGTTTGATATGGAACGATAAAATAAGGTTTTAGGAAATGGTATCCAAAACTGCTGTTTGTTTCACCCTAAAAAAATCGGAAAAGCATCATGAGAGAAAAGCATCATGAGGAAAAGCACCATGAAAAGCTGAGCTGGCACCCTCATTTCCAAAAAAAGAGCCCATTTCCGAGCTTTTAGACAGGAATTGGCCGTTCAAAAAAAAAAAAAACACTATTTGACAAGGTTTTAGGAAACCATTTCTAAAAAAAAATGAAACAAACGTAGTTTTTGGATTTCTAAAACCACAAAAATGTTACTTTTTGTTCCAAAAACCGGGTTTTCCAAAAAAACACCCTCAAACAAACACGCCCTAAACCTCAAATTTCTCAAATCAACCAAACTTTTGCAGAAGACTCGGCTAATATTTATGAAAGATGAGTGGGACTGGCGGACGGCGGTGTATGTGCTACCGAGCGCGCAGCGAACAAAAGTCACTCCGTACTGCAAAATTATGCATCATAATGAATTAATGTCAAAATATCGTAGAAAACAGCAAGCCCCACATATAAAATTACGTGAGGATATTATATAAGATAAAGAGCATAAATACAAGCACTCTTTTCTCCAAACATTTTAAGAGTCTTCATCACTCTCTTGGTCCCTATCAACAAAAAACTTTGATGGGTTGTGCCAAACCCGTCAATCTATAATTTATACAGAAAGACCCACAAGAAATAAATAAATAAAAAAGGCACACATCCATGACCAAAGTTTTCATCACAAATGCAAATCCAAGCCAACAAAATACAGGAAGATTTTAAAACAAGGATACTTCCTAAAACTCTGCATCCATTGCTTCTGCTCTGTGATTCCTAACTAATGAAGAACTCCCGTCTTCAATTTTCTTTTTAAATAATTTTATAACTATTTGTTTCTATATACCATTTGGAAAACAATCACTCACCAAACACTCTCTTCGTCACACAGTTAGCACCCTTCCCGCCATAAATTCCTGCAACCAAATCCATCAACTACCCATTAAACCAAAAACCCAATTAACTAATTTAAACAGTGAATTAAGCTTTTTTTTTTTTTTTTTTTTTTTACCCAGGTGGAGATTTAAAATTTGCACTCTGTCTTCCAGCTCAATGGAGAAGAGATTCTTCAACCTACTACCTGCGATCAACTTCAACGCCTCTTTGCTCCGGTGGACATCGCCACCATCAACAAGCTTTTGCAGCTGCTTGACAACTCCCCCAGTTCATGTCAACCTCTTCCTGCATCGCTGCCGTCTAGCAGCCAATGCAAGCACGACCGACACGGGAAATTTCTTGCAGATTTCTTCCCTTCTCGGATCCAACATCTGAACGAGCTTCGTCATGCTCTTCAGATCTCGACTAAATTCTATTCTATTCGGTCTAGCTGATAGCAAACAAGCCAAAGCTTCAGCTGCGATCTCTTGCGCGCTCACAGGCTTCGGCAACTCGAGCATTTTAATTAGAGATGGCATGCATTCGGCCATTGATCGCCTAATTTCTTCCTTTGGAGATAGTGATGTAAGCAAAGAAGCTGATGTTTGTTGGACCTGGATATTTCCGGTCCTTATGAGTTCAGCTATGTGAACGAAGAATTCAGAAGAACAAGCCATTGCTCGAGCTGCAGGAAGGAAGGTCGATAACGCTTGCATCGCCCTCAGTCCGTGTTCCAACACATCTAAATTTTTCGATTCGAGGACGATCTGCATAAGACTCTGCAACCCCCCTTCTCGAAAAATCGAAACCCTGACCTCCTCGCCCCCCTCAGATGCAAGATACCACAGA